GACAATTTTTTTTTCGGGGCTCAAAAAAAGGCAGAGTATAACCTTCCTTTTTTACCAAAAATCGACTACACCAAAATTTCTCGGGAAAACACTTTTTCTTATTATTTTGGGTGCGTAGAATCCAAATCAATTCGTACTTTTTCGATCAGACTTCTCAATCAAAAGTTATAGACTAGAAACCAATTTCGGAAGAAAATTCAAAGGGCTGTAACTTTTGAACTAGTAGCCCAATCTTGGAACTGTTTGAAATTATGGATTCTACAGGCCACATTCTAAAAGAAAATTTTTTTTCCGGGTCGATCTGACACAATTTTTTTTTATTATACCTGAATTACAATCTCCGTTTTAAACACTCAAATGCGTGCGAAAAAGGGCTTTTAAAACACACGTGCTTTAAAGTTGCTAAGTAACGATACTTCAAGTATGACTTTTGAAACTGTCATCTGGATGAAATAAAAAATCCTCTTAGGTCGCTTTCTGTAAATGCAGAACATTTCTTTGGCTTTTGTACCTATCCTTTGGGTGAAGCTTTCACAAACGCGCGTAATTTAGGGTATGCTTCCAAATCTGTTCCACTTTTTAATCGCAGCATTGCTTTAAAGTTTTGAATGAATGCACCAAAATATAGAAGATTTAAATACTTTTGACATTTCCTTCATATATGCCAGCATTATGGATGCATTTAAGACTGTATTCGTAAGTAACTTCCTATTCATCCATGGAAACAACTTTTCATATTCTTTATATAGGCTTTACTGGAGTTGGATTTTACACCTACCAACGTTTGTTTAGATTTTACAACAATCGATTTAATGGACGGTGTATTATCTTTTTCAACGGAAATCGTTTAATTCACAAAGACGATGATTTTTATAAGCAAACGTCAAGTGACATTTCCATGGCAATCGTGAAATTACGAACACCCATCCCACTTAATTAGACATGTATTCGAGTATAACGTCAATATGACTTCATTGTATTTCCTATTTTTAAATTACACTGCAGGTATAATAAAAAATACTATAAGATACACGTGTATAATTGGTCTTTAAAGCACTTGCAACGTTAAAGGCACTCCGCTTTGCGTCGTGCCTTAAACTCGTTGCG